AGGTCTAAGATGGCTTCATTAACTGGAAGGGTGGTCTTCAAGAAGGATGAAGAGTAGAGGATATCAAGGAGCTGCTGCTGTATGTCCTTGACCTCCTCCAGTGGTACGTGGAGGGTATTTGCTACTTTTTTTGCCAGCTCCTGGAACAATCGGAAGTTATCTGCCATGGACGTTGGTGAAGGCATGCCTGCTTCACCTGGGGCAAAGCCGCCAGGCAAAGCTTGAAGCGTGCAAAACAGGCTGTTGTGTCACCCCAGGGTCCCAGTATGGCCACTGTGGTGGCATAGGGCCTGGTGGAGATGCTCATGGGTGGCACTCCTGCACCCTGTTGATAGTACATCTCCTATGGAGCTTGGGAGGAGTACTGTGAGACCTCCTCTGGATCACTATCTGACCCCTCACTTGACAGTGGAGGGGCATGGCATGATTCCAGGGATATCCCCTGTGCCTGGCTCAGTGCCGTGATGTCGGTACCGCGAGGTTGAGACTCGGGTGCCTCCGTCATGCAGAGGTCCCTGGTCCGGTGGAATTCTGCCAGTACTGATTATCCCTGTGGCAGTGTGGGAGGAGATGGAGACCTCATCTGTGCCGGGCGGGCTACTGTCACTGGCGGTACCAAGGTGGGTGGGAGAAGAGGAATTCAGAGTCCTTGGTAGGGATATTCTCTTACAAGTGGGTGTCACTGTAACCAGATCAGATGGTCCCAGTGGATTCCAATAGAGCCTCATTAATAGGGAGGGCAATTCTAGATGGTATGTCCAAGAGCTTGTGTTGGGGTTCTCTGATCTCCTCTAGGGGTATCTGCAGAGAGACTGCCACCTGCTTACCAAGGTCCTGGAACTGCCAGAAATCATTAGCCACCAATGGAGAGGGAGAAATCAGGGCTTCATCTGGTGAAGAGAACAAGATGGTGGTTTGAAGCGTTGCTTCTCTGTCCACCCTGGTATCCTGCTCCTCAAATGTTTCCTCCTGTTGCTTGACCAGGGGGGTGGGGGCGAGGGAGGAAGCTTGTGTCTCCCTATCATCCCGAAGAAGTGGCGGGGGGGGTGGGGGGGGTGGGGGAGTTATGGTACCGAGGATGCAAAAGGATCCAGCTACCAAGAGGTTCTCGATACAGAAATATGCTTGGTACCTGTCAGCAACAGAGACTCTGGATCAGAAGCCATCACCAAGTCTCTCTGGTATCAAGTCCTGCAGTACCAACAGACGTTGTAGTACCGAGTGTTTGTCCTTGTCAGATTATATCAGAGGCATAAGGCACTTCGAGGCTGCGACAATGAGGTTGGAGGCTTACATGGTACCGTGACACCTGGTAAGGGCATTGAGAGAGGAGTCCGAGTCGATGGTGCTGATCTTCTATGTTTGGTGCCATCTCCTGTGCCGGAAGAGCGTTTCCCCTCTATGGTACCAAGCCTCAAGGAAGACCTCGGAGGAGGCTAGAGACCAAGGTCTTTTTGAAGGAGAAGCCCCAAGAAGGGAACTAGATCTGGTTTTCTGAGAGGATTTGAAGGAGGGCTCTACGGATGTCTACTTACTAAGAGAATGTTGCACCGAGGTGGAAGTTGGGGTAGAAATCCCTGAAGTCTGATGGCCGGGGTGAGTGTCCCGACCTGGTTCTGAAGTAGATCAGGGGGAACGCTCCATCATGAGGAGTCAAAGTTTGAGATCTTGGTTCTTCTGGACTCTGATTTCAGGGCTAGACAGAAGTTTCACTTCTTGCCTACCTCAGCAGTTACATAGCTTCTCTTTAGATCAGCTAGCTGGTTTGTTATTTGTAGTTAGTTTAGTGAGGGGATTTTAAACAAAAACAAAAAAAACTTTTTTGGTTATAGAGACTTGTTCTATTCCTTGCAGGAAAATTCTCCCTGTGAGGGGCATGCCCAGTTCACTGGAGTTTAAATGCTGCCTCTCATGTAAAGAGGCCATCCCAGTCAGCAATGGACACTGCAAGTGCGTTAGCTATCTGGGTGAGTCCAGAATGCTACAGAGGTGGACATGCGATCTGTCTTGGGCCCAGGCAGTTGAGAAGGAACTGAGGGCCAGTTTGCTCACAAAGCCTGATATAGCCTTGGTTTGGGGCACAACGATACCAACAGCACACGGGCAAACCGAATGGACATGGCTAATAAAAATCTATGATCAAGTGTGCACCATGCACCCATGTATCAAGTGGGATACCCATAGAAACAACTACCTGAAGAAAAATGATTTCTATACCAACAATCAACTGAGGAAGCACAAGTTGGCCCTGTCACATTTGAGATACACCTCTACCTCGATATAACGCTGTCCTTGGGAGCCAAAAAATCTTACCGCGTTATATCGAACTTGCTTTGATCCGCCAGAGTGCGCAGCCCCCCCCCCCGGAGCACTGCTTTACCGCGTTATATCAGAATTCGTGTTATGTCGGGTAGCAGCGTACTTCCTGTGTCTCTGAAAGCCGTAATTGCATAAGTTACCTTTTTCTCTTTTTTTAACCCGCTTTATTTTTTAATTCTGACAAAGAAAGTAGAGTATGATGAAGTAGACTATGAAATTCCTGTTCAGAAGCAAAGACGACTGAAAAGGAGACATCATAGCAACAGAGGAAAGAGAGAAAAGGAACACCAAGAAATCTATACAAGCTTACAGGAGAATGTGATCTGGCAGTGATAAAGAGAGATGAGCCCAGGCTGTAAAAGTCGGAACAGATCCAAGCTTCCCCAAATATTGAGGATGATCCAAATCATTGTTTTGGATCTAATCCATCTCTACTTCTGAAGACAAGAAAAACATTCTGTACCAAATTAGTGAACAAAAGGCTGCAGTATTGTGTTTTTATACAAAAATCTTAAAAACCATATGATTTACATATTAAAAACCATTCACTTACCTGTATGTCTTGCTTATTTACTGCAGAAGCAAGCCACAGACTTGAAAAACTGAGTGGGAAAACAATGCCTCTATAAGAATGCCGGGCTTTCCTCAGAGTAGGAGCAGCCAAACAATCTACTAAAAGTTTACTGAGAGACCTTGCACAATGCATTTAAAAGCCCCTTTTTCAGTAAATTTCTGCTTGATAAAAATACAATTGTCAGTGTGTGAAGAAATTTGCCAGGGACAGTTCTCCAAATAAGCCAACAAACTGGTAAATGCAGAAACTCATTTTTGCATTCTGGGGAATCTGAGGTTTTATTCTTCATAGAAAGGTGAGAAACAAAACATAAAATTTGCAGAATGCACATATAAATCCTCTATCAACTTCCAGATATTTTGCTTATTTGAGAAATCAGCCTTTGAAAAGATGTTTATACCCTCTACCTCACACCTCCTTCTGTACTCTCCATGACTCAGACCTCTCCCCCTCCACAGCTTTGCCCACTTCTGCTCACTGATGTATTATTATTTTCTTCTGCCCCAATGCTGAGCATTGGCTTAGATCTGTTCCCATTGAAGTCAATGGTAAAACTTCATTTGATTTCAGTGTAAAAAGATAGGCCAGGGCAGAGCAGAGCTGAAATTTCACCCTTGATTTATATTTAAGGAGTTAAAAGGCCAGGGTCTACATGCATGTAGAGTGATAAAGTTTGGATTACCACAGAAAAAAAGATTTTTGCAGTGTCTCTGAGTTTTGGATGATTATGAAATGTAAACAAGCCATTTATGTTAAGTACGGTGTTCAAATTTATATCCCAAAAAAGTCAATTAAAATATATTATATCAAGAAAGTCAAATGACTGTTAAGTAGCTTTTCACATTACCTCTGGAGTGTTTTTCTTGAACTCACGACTTTGCTCAATAAGCTTTTTTCTAGACTGCTCACTTTCATCTTGTCGGTTAGCCAATACCGTTGCAGTGGCATCAAGCTCTCTCTGTCCAGAAAAAAGAAAAGAAACAGCAAGATTGTAATTGCTCTTGGTTGAAGAGAAGGTCATTTACCCCAGATAAATAAAAATATAAGCCTTCAGACTGACTCCTCTCAAGAATGCACAGAACAAAGATACCAATCTCCAGAAATTTCTTCCACAGAATGTAGTTAAACACTAAGTGCTACAGAATTTAAATTCTGTCCTGAAACTAAAAATGACTGTTGTTTGCATGTGGGAAAATCAAATAGATATTTTTTCAAAAACATTTAGGGTTATATAATAGTAAGCTAATATAGTAAGATACCAGAAACAAAACTAATGCAACATATACCTCATAATAATCCCCAAATCAAACTAAAGTAGTATGTCTACTTCAAGTTCAAGTCAGTTCCATTTTTAAATGGCTTACATCACCTATTTCCTTTGCTGACTTTGGAAGCACTCTCTGTTTTAGTTATTCTGAGTGAAAAAGCTATGTCTGAATAACTGAAGTACAAGTTCCTCCTACATGATGGTCAACCGATGATAGCTTTACTTCAAAGTTATTTTTAAAATCACAAACTACTCACTGGGATCACTATGTTCTTCTCCATACAAAATTTTTAAAATTTGGGGACATCCCTCAATAAGAGACTTCCTTCTGTTCTAAAGACCAAATGATCTTTTCCTCAGTCTCTACTTCATATTGGAACTTGTCCTCCTTACATTATCAATAACTGTAGTTATCCCTTCGCTGATTGTTTTGTCACCAGAAACACACACAATATTCTTCGTCTGTAGTCATACTTTATGAATGCCAGAATAACTTCCACCAAATTATAGTAAACAGAACTACCAATACAGCCATAACATTACTGCCAAGCTTTGCCCAAATGATTTCAACATACTATCCACCATCACATCTTTCTTCTGTACTCAACACCATACTTTAAATTAAACCATGCTGCATTGCACGGGTCATTTATCAGCACATAAGCCAACACTATTCAAATCATTCTGCATCACTCTACTTGCTTTTGCAATATTTGAATGTTATATTTAAAATATTAATTTTGCCACTCAGATATGTGCAACATTTTCACTTAGGTCAACAGGTGCTATATCCGTATATTTATGGAGAGAATCTGGCACTATATTTTCTTTACTTTTAATTGATTTTCTTTCATTTTGACTTAATCTAATGTTCATGAAAAGTGAGCAAAACTACTCGCTAAAGTGAGGCATAATGTATACAGATTCTGGGCCATCTTCTCCGCATAACTCTGCCAATAAACCTTGCTCCTGGCCTAAAAAACCTCTGCTATTCTCCTGGGCAGAAATTGCCAATCCTACGAAACCGAATGAAAGATTTAGATATAAACAAATATCAGTTAAAAAAAAAATCAGATTGACACAACCAGATGAAAAATATAAGGCCAGAACTTTAGCCCTTGAGCCTCTTTCTAGGCATTTTGTGAAAGAAATCTGGATTAAAATTATTGGTTCTCTCATGTATAAATCCTGCCACTGTTCTGTTATTTCTAGGTTTAAACTAATTTAACAAGTCTGAAGCATAGACTGGGTTGATGGGCACATATTTTACATGATTCCGTAAGTCCGAGTGGGGCGGGGAGGAGAAGAGGACGGGTCTGAGGCTTTTTTTTTTTTTTTTTTTTTTTTTTTTTT